CACGCTTTCGTTGCCATTGATTTAAAACTGTGCAAAACTACAGGACAAATTTAGCATTTTGCGTGGCGCGTTTCCGATTAAAAACGCAAGCTCATTTGGTTGATTACATTTAGCTGTGAAAGACAGTGCGAGCTGTTCCTGCGACGAGAGTGTCTTTACAAGATCGATAATTGACAAGAAATATTATATGTCCGCGTTCTTTTGAAAAGAACGCATTAGTTAGTGGAAAGTCGGTGGGGGAGGGGGGAGGGGTTGATTGCATGTTGACATCAGAGATCCGAGATCAAATTTAAATAAACGTGATAAAATGAGTGTTTTCAAGATTAAAGTGAAATAGTATATGACTTAATATTAACTAAAGTAGCCCATTGACATGGTATTTCACATGATGTGGTTTTGAATATGTGGTACATGTATTTATTTACTGGAGCAGGGCCAGTTTCAAATACTGCATGACAGTCTTGTTTTATTTCCTTTTTCTTTTGTGTCCATATTTTTGAGCAGACGCTAGTGACCTGTATGATAGAGCCCATGGCGCAGACGACTTTTTTTCACTTCATTTAAACTTTCAAATAGACGAAGGTTTTAATAAAATCATAATGCTAAATGCTTATTATAATTCCTCAACCTTTCAGACCGTGATCGCGAATTCGAACACTGCAGGGGTTGCAAGTTCGAGTAGCACAGGGGCCGCCAGTTCGAGCAGCACAGAGATCGCCAGTTCAAACGCTGTAGGTGTCGCCATAGTAGTTCGAATTCTATTTGTGCCACTTCTAACCACTTGTCCCTTACCGCTGTGGGTTCGAATCCCAACAGGGACCTTTTCAATAGTTAAGGTAAAATCCAACAGACAACAAAGAAAATCAAAGTGCTGAAGGCACTGCAGTTGGGACGTATGAAGGATCAAATAACTATTTTTTCTATTTCGGGGCAGATAATTCAATGAGTGAAGGGTGTTGCCGGTTGATAAATATAAAGTTCACAATTCAGTAAATGAACAGTAGTTGATACAATTATTCTATGACACACATGTTCAAATATAATATTTAGGTTACATGTACGTGTAGGTCGATCATAAACCGTTATTGGCCTTTTTTGACAAGAGCAACAAGTGAAATTAGAGCTACCAGAGGAAACTGCAAGCTTGACTATTTTAACACATGACATTATAAAGGGAGACAAAGCTATGAAAAAATAATCAATTGTGATATATATCAAATTTTTTGTATCAGTATCAAGTAAACACTCAAATGGTCAATATTTTTTGCATCACATTATATGAATGTGACCATGTCATTAGAACTTATAATGGCCTTTGTTTACTGCAATTTTCATGCTAATCTCTTTCACTGTATAACGTTTATAAAGTTTCAATCAAATTCCTTCAATATTTTAATCCTCTCTCAGAACAGTATCATGAAATATATACGGAGATAATTCAAAAACTAAGTAATGTAGAATTTTGGTTATATGACACAAGACTTCTGCTCACTAGTCTCTACAACTGTATTTAGTTTGAGTGTGATATCATTGAAAAGATTTACTCCAGACAACCATTATTTTAAAAGTTGTTGTACATGTATTTTAAGAGATGATAATTGTAAAATTAAGCTAGAAACTAGAACTCCGCGAGTCGGATGTGTCGCCTTGTGAACAATGTAGTTTAGGAGAAATGGCCAGGACAAAAATGAAATATGAAAAATAACAAAGGGCAATAACTAAAAAAACAAGCAATTATCATAGTATTGCAAGCAATCCATAAGTCCCCTACCGGTTAGAACCCCATCAACATTCTGAAGGGCCATTCACTAATGTTTCAATTTTTCTCTATTTTAAGGAAATTTGTTGGAAAAGTTCTTTAAAAGTGATCACAGGAAACAGTTTTTATGAACAGACAGACAGACGGACTGAAGGACACTCTAAAGTTAATATTTGAAACATCCCTGTTACCAAAATATAACATTTTAAAAGCAAAATTCTTAAACAGGAGATAACTCTTGTATTAAAGATGCAATTTCATAAAAAATTTTCAGCTCTTTTTGACTAATCACAAATATTGTTATATTTGCCATGTTTTAAGCCTATTTGTTGCCAAGGCAACTGATATTTTTTCAATATAGGAAGAACAGATAAGACATGCATAACCTCAAGACTGCCATCTACCCATATGTCAAGTTTCATAAAAATATTTCCAGTACTTTTTGAGTTATCACTGGATTTAATTTATGTGTAAAATTTGCCATATTTTCAGTCTATGTGTTGCCATAGCAACCAGAATTTTCAACATAGAAAGAAAAGAAAAAGACGTGCATAATCTCAAGACTGCCATCTACCCATATGTCAAGTTTCATAAAAAATATTTCCAGTACTTTTTGCTTTATCACTGGATCCAGTTTATGTGTAAAATTTGCCATATTTTCAGCCTATTTGTTGCCATAGCAACCAGAATTTTCAATATAGGAAGAAAAGAATAAAAAACGTGCATAATCTCAAGACTGCCATCTACCCATATGTCAAGTTTCATAAAAATATTTCCAGTACTTTTTGTGTTATCACTGGATCCAGTTTATGTGTAAAATTTGCCATATTTTCAGCCTATTTGTTGCCATAGCAACCAGAATTTTCAACATAGGAAGAAAAGAAAAAGACGTGCATAATCTCCATACTGCCATCTATCCATATACCAAGTTTCATAAAAATATTTTCACTACTTTTCAAGTTATTGCGGGATCCAGTTTTGTGGACGGACGGACTGACAGACGGACGGACAGACGGACGGAGGGTAAACCTAAAGTCCCCTCCGGTAAACCGGTAGGGGACTAATAATAAGTTCAGAGCAGCAGTTTCTGAACACTGCACTTCTTATCAATAAGATCTATCATACTATGATGGTTCAAGTCCATAGCTTTCATACTTGAGGAGAAATGACCAGGACAAAAATAAAGAAAGAAAATCAACAATGGGCAATAACTCAAAAAATAAGAAATGCAGAGTACCAGTTCTTGTGCACTGCACTTCTTCTTAATGAGATCTATCATCCTATGAAGTTTCAAGTCCATAGCTTTTATACTTAAGGAGAAATGGCCCGGACAAAATTAAAGTATGAAAATAAACAAAGGGCAATAACTCAAAAAATAAGAAATGCAGAGTAACAGTTCTTGTGCACTGCACTTCTTCTTAATGAGACCTATCATCCTATGAAGTTTCAAGTCCATGGCTTTTATTCATTAGGAGAAATGGCCCGGACAAAAATAAAATATGAAAATTAACAAAGGGCAATAACTCAAAAATTAGGAAGTACAGTGTACTGGTTCCTGTGCACTGCACTTTTTCTTCAAAAGTAACCCCTATTATGTCACCTTTTCAAGGTGACACAAAAATTAGGGTTCTTTGAAAAAATACTTTCCTTCACTTGATTATTTTCGCTGTGTAAAAGTTTAATCAAATTTCATCAACTCTTTTCCAGTATTTCTCTGGACAAGCATAATTAAGTACATGTATAATAAAGGTAGATAATTAAATAAGAGGGCCATGATGGCTCTGAGGTTGCTCACCTGTATATACCCCCCCCCCACCCTGCAGGGCCAGTTTTAATCCAAGGGCTTTTATTTGAACAAACTTGGAAGAATCCATAAGAAGATGATTCATGCTAAACATCAAAGCTCTAGTTTATTGGGTTTTTTTAAAGAAGATTTTTTAAGTTTTTACTAACACATACTGTTAAAAACAATGACAACCCTGGCGCAGGGCCAGTTTTGACCCCAGGGCTTTTATTTGAACAAACTTTGTAGACACTCACTAGAAGATGTTTCAACTTATAATATAAACTCTTGCTATTTGGGTTCTTTAAAAAAGATTTTTGAAATTTTTACTATATGCATATAGGGAAAATCAATGATCCCCTGGGGCAGGGCCAATTTTGACCCCGGGGCTTTTATTTGAACAAACTTGGTAGACACTCATTAGAAGATGTTCATGCTAAATATCTTAGCTCTAGCTCTTTGGGTTCTTTAAAAGAAGATTTTTAAGTTTTTACTATTTGCATTTAAAGAAAATTAATGACCTCCTGGGGCAGGACCAATTTTGACCCCAGGGCTTTTATTTTAACAATCTTTGTAAACACTCACTAGAAGATATTTCATGCTAAATATCTTAGCTCTAGCTCTTTTAGTTCTTTAAAAGAAGATTTTTTTAAGTTTTTACTATATGCATTTAAAGAAAATTAATGACCCCCTGGGGCAGGACCAATTTTGACCCCGGGCCTTTTATTTGAACAAACTTGGTAAACACTCATTAGATGATGTTTCATGCTTAATATCTTAGCTCTAGCTCTTTGGGTTCTTTAAAAGAAGATTTTATAAAGTTTTTACTATATGCACATAGGGAAAATCAATGACCCCTGGGGCGGGGCCAATTTTGACCCCAGGGCTTTTATTTAAAAAACTTGGTAGACACTCACTAAAGGATGTTTCAAGCCAAATATCTAAGCTCTAGCTCTTAGGGTTTTTTTAAAGATGATATTTAAAGTTTTTTTCTTTCGGTTCCCATGGCAACCAGAGTTCAGCATGGAATTAAATTCTTTGCACAATTTTTAAAGGTGACAGCCAAAGGAACATTCTTGTGAAGTTTGGATGAAATTAGCATAGTGGTTTATGAGGAGATGTCATTTAAAGTAAAAGTTTACGGCCGGACGAAAAGGGATCACAAAAGCTTGACCTGTCACTTTGTGACAGGTGAGCTAAAAACTAAGGAATGGAGTTATGGTTCTTTGACACATTGGAAAATTCGAGTCGTTCAAGTTGATTTAGATTCAGTGATAGTTTGGAATAAGCATTTTTAACTTAAGGGATATAATTAAAACATGAAGCAAGGTAGAGTTATGTTTCTTGAACATTGCACTTCCTCTTAAAAGTCTCTATCACTTTGTGAAGTTTACATAAAATCCCTTCAATACATATCTAGTTATATTCATATTTCGGACAAGAGTGTGAGAACAAATGTCTTCCTAAGTACAGACTATGTTTTTTTTCCTTTATCAACTAAAATCTCAAAAACACCATTAAAAACATATTTTCCTCCCATGAGCAACCTTTTTCCCCAAAAGTACAAGTCTGTATGGAATGAACACAGATATTTATCCAGAATATTACTTGAGTCCATACCGACAGATGGTTAAGACCGCAACTATATTCTCTCCCTTTCAGGAGCATAAATTATAATAACATGCTAAATCTCTGTATAGTTCTATATCAGATACCAGTATGATGAACCTAACTTTTGTACCATTTAAGTTATAGCAAAATTCAGCTTTCATTGACATACAGAAATGGGTCAGCCTTTAGTCCCCTCTTAATGAAAATAGAAGGGGACTAATAACAACAATTTATTCTCATAGTTTCAATTCTCAGGTTTATTACTTATCATTACACCAGGCAAGCTAAGATACATGTTAAAACCACAGGCACAATATACCACATTTACCCATATACGCTCATAATACTATATATAAAGAATAAAGGTCCCTAACGAGAGAAATATATCATGCAAAACAAACAAGAACTGTTCGGTAAAAATACACCAGATCACTATTTTATCTTTGTGGTTGTCTCTAGGAATAATGTATCCTATCATAAACACTTTTTACTTCATCGAAATCCTACAAAATGCTCCAAAATACGAGCAAGTTTCCAAATTTCACTGAAATGTCATTGCATGTCGTTTTCGACGTCCAAGCGATGCGTGTAAACAAAGGTGAATTCTGGTCAATTTCTACAAAATCAACGAATAACTGTTAAGATTTCGACATACTTTCTTTAAGGCAACTTGTATACAGTCAAACTGCGATGTCTTTACTTCACAACTGTCCGACGATAACACTAACAAGCTAAAAAATTAAAAATAATTGACAGCTCCGTTCCAGAAAGTAACCATTTCCTACATTACCGCACTGAATATAAGGTAAAGTAATGATTGGTTAAGCGGAAAATCCGAGTTTTAACATTTTCCTTCAACACAATGTTCATGACTGGCCTTTACTATTGACAGGCGATTCAATTCAGACTAGCCCTCTAAAATACTCCAACTAGTCCAAAGTGTTAATGGTGCCTATACAGTTATGATCACTACATCTGGAAACTGGAGATTCCCACCGAGTGTGATGCTTATCTTCATTCGCTTGACAGTGACACATGTCCACCTTAAAAAAAAGCAATAAAAATTATATGAAGTGCAATAATTTGCAAAACAAGAGCTGTCAGTAGGACAGCAACGCTCGACTATTCTAAGTGCTTGATAGTAAAAGAGCCTTGATAATGTAAAATTTTCAGAGTTAATAACAAAAGGACAAAATTTTTCTTTAAATCCATGTTAAAGTTAAAGGCCTTGGACAGAGTCCTATTATGTTCTCAAAGTATAAAATATCAACTTGTTTCAATAGAATATGAAAATATCTGAGGTGGAATGCAAACCTAAAAGTAAATTCTAAGTTGAAAAAGGGGTATAATTCTGTCAAAATACTTGATACAGTTACCTCCTCCTGTCTACAGGTTGGGGTTATAATGGTGAACAAGTGTGCAAAGTTTCAAAGCCATATGTCAATGGACTTTGAAAATATTTGAGGTATTACAAAAACTTAAAACATAAATTCTAAGACGAAAAAGGGGCATAATTCTGTCAAAATGCTGGATACAGTTACCTCCTCCTGTCTACAGGTTGGGGTCATGATGGTGAACATGTGTGCAAAGTTTCAAAGCCATATGTCAATGGACTTTGAAAATATTTGAGATATTACAAAAACTTTAACATAAATTCTAAGTCAAAAAGGGGCATAATTCTGTCAATATTGTAGGCAGAGTTATCCAACTTGTCAATCTGATGTACCTTGTTACTATAAATAAGTATTGTAAGTTTCAATTGAATATCTCAAGCAATAAATGAGATAATTGACTTTACAAAAACTTTAACTAAAATTTCTAAGTTAAAAAGGGGCATAATTCTGTCAATATTGTAGGTAGAGTTATCCAACTTGTCAATCTGATGTACCTAGTTACTATAAATAAGTATTGTAAGTTTCAATTGAATATCTCAAGCAATAATTGAGATATTTGACTTTACAAAAAACTTTAACCAACGCAGACGCCGACGCGGACGCTGACGCCGACGCCGGGGCGACTACAATAGCTCTCATATTCTTCGAAAAGTCGAGCTAAAAATGCTTATCTTATTTGTCTCTTCTTACCTTTATAATGCAGAGCACTAGATTTGTGTGTCTGTCATACAAAATGACTTTCAATAATACTATTTAAATATATTTGAAAAACAATTTCTTTAATAAATACTCATAGTAATACTAAATTCCTTTTTTGTGATATTTTTTCTGACACATATGTGCAGACAGTACATTGTGTACACCGGTCTTACTGACCTGTGTGAAACCATTCTAAGCATGATGCCAAGAAAATTTTGGACTTGTGAGAGGCTGTAAATGACCCCAGATTGATCATAACTTCATAACCTAACGTGTAACCAACGCTGAAAAGCATTTGACTATATCTCAATCCATTGAGAAGTGGCATCACTTTGAAATCAATTTTGATTGAAAAAATCGAGGCAAAATAGTGATTTTGGGCAATTTTGAGATGTCCCCTCGTTGCCATTGTAACAGAAAATTTAAGCCTGAGCATGTTGTTGCAAGGGCAATGGTCCAGTCAACATTTGTGCCAAGTTTGATTAGTGTTGAAGCAGTTTTTATAGTATTATAGCAATTTGAACTTGTAACGGGAGACTTTTCAATGAAAACAGCCATTTTTCACAAAATGCTCATGAAGTAATGGGTTAAGAAATTTTGCATCTTGATTGGGAAAAATATTTAGTACCATGTACAAAGTTGTTAATCCAACAAATTGTATATCATTCAAAGCATAAAAAATACATAAAAAATTGACAATGGAATGTGTTTTTGAACATCATCTGTCTGGTACCATATTGGATTGAAATGGAATGAAGAAAAATTGTCAGCTTTGATAACGGGAATTTTGACTTATGATTTTTTTCTAAACTTGGAAAAGGATAAAAGCATATTTGGCATTATTTGGGAATGGGTCTGTTAATCTGACCCGTGGTGACACTGGTAAAAATGCATGTTTTCATTATTTTTTTTTGGAAAACAGTTTGGTTGGTGAAATATACATTAAATATTATATAAGTACCTGTTCTTTGTAATAATCTTCTAGTCTTTCTTTAATCTTATACTGTACTTTTTTCTAGTTACATGTACCAGCCTTTTCAAGTGAATATTAAAGTAAATGATCTTTTATTTCCCTGAAAATATCAATTTAGAGATTTCATTTTCAAAATCATCCAATACTACTCTCTTAGTGTGTGTATATACAGAGACATATAAATACATTTTATGTATTTTAACGTCTCTGGTATATACAATGTATATATGTGTCTATACAATGTATATATATGTTTACACTATAATATGATTGTGTACAGCATGTAATGACATAATTAAAATTTGAAAAATTTATGATAATAAAATATTAATAATATTTCTTCATATTACTCCACAGTATTACCACTAAAATAGAAAATGTTCTATCATTTATTATGATATCTATTTTTTACATGTAGATTTGTGAAAAAAATGTGAATATCAGTAGTGTCAAAAATTGTTAAATCATATAAAATGTCTAATTAACACTGATAAATTACTTCAACCATGTATTGAGAACAGGTATAGATCATTTCCAACAGTCTTGCTGTTGTGTTGACATTTTCGCGACATGGTTGTGTGTCTGCCTTGTAATCAAGAGGTCTGGGGTTTAAATCCCTTTAAGTGCCTGAAGATTTTTCAGGTTAACAATTATCAAGGTGGCAGTGATTTTTTTTTTCAACTTTCAAAACAACCTGTGGCTTTATAAATGGGAAACTATAGCTTGATTAATCAGAAAAGAGGAAAAATTTCAACCACTGAAAATGGAATTTACCCATACATTTAAAAAAAGTGTTACTCAATTTAAAGGGGTTCCATTGAGGTATTTTGTCATGATGGGACTGAAATATCTTTTCCAGATAAATGTACCGTTTGATGAATGTTTAGAACACTAATCTTTGTACAAACCTTTAGATCATTTGCGCACTTCGTTTTTCCAGAATAATTATTCAAATTGTAAAAAGATGACCCAAAATGAAATGGCTAGACTTTAAATAGATATCCTGGTTGTACTATCTACCGGGAGTGTAAGCCTTATTTGGCCCACCGTCAGATAATACAAAAAAAATCTAATATAAAATAGTTATTTTCTGTAGGAGGTACCATTTTTTGATGAAAATAACAAATATCTAAAAGAAATTTTAACTATACATCAAAAAGATAGTTCTGTTAATAACCTCTTATGAGTGGCAGCCATTTTTGTTTTTAAGTACTTAATACCAGGAATGACTTTTAAGCAATCAATAAAAAGTTAAAAACATATGTAAATGGTCCATTGCTGTTAATGATACTAAAGTTCTATTCAATATTTATCAGTCATCACACAGTAAAAGGGTAATAATTTGATAAGCATTTGCACACACATTCAAAATATCATGATGGGTCCAAATTGTTAGCAATATTACTGGTTTTTATACGTAAAACACATTTATGTGAAGAATGACAGACTATTCTCTCCCTTACCAGTTCCTCCCCCTGACGGTTCTCTCCCAAACCGTTTCCTCCCCTGACGGTTCTCTCCCAAATTTGAAATAAGCAGACAGTTCTCCCCCAATTTTATTTTTATAAGTTATCATTTAGTTTTGACTTAATCTAATATTTAGCATTTCTTAATGAAGATTATGTAAAGAATGTGTTTGATGTTCAGTGCATTTTATGTTTTATGTTTATCTGAAAAGTGTTTGTAAATTTAACACCTTTTTAAGGTATTTCAATCCTATCAACACCTTCATTGTGAGAGATTAAGATAACTGGACAGTGATTGATATACACCTGTAATTATGTTAAGGTCTAGTGATATTTATTTATTTGTTAAATAGCAAATAACATGGTAACAAGTATGTTCTAGAAAATAAATAAGCAACAACTGGTATGCAAACACATTTCACAATTACTTTTATACAAAATTGATTAAAGGAAATGTAGACATTCACTTGAAACAATATATAAGACCAAATAATTACTAAAATATTTAGTCCTCAACATCTTTTCACAGCTATTTTAATCTAATCAACACATTGATTCTTGAGTAATGAATTAATAAACATCTTAATTATCTCTGACAGCAAACTTAATGCACATGTGTATTGAACAACTTTCTTCATTATACAAAAATATGACATTTGGGTATAAAGTGCATTAATTAATCATTTTTTCTAATAAATTTTATTCTTATTTATTTATTAATAAAATAATGAATAAAATAAATACAACACAATATAGTTAATACCTAATGATTATCCTAATCAAGTAAATGATTCATTTTAATTATTTTCAGTGACTAAACACATTAAAAAGTATACATTAGATCTGATTAAAAAAATCAGAATAATTAATTATTATGCTAAAACATTTTCTTTTCTAATTTATATCAACTTACCCATATATTAAACATCTAAATACTTCGATGATTTTTTTTCCTAATTTATATCAATAATAATTTATCAATTTATTAAACATCTTAATACATCAATATTTTTTTTTTGTAATTTTTATCAGTTAATAATAAACTTACCAATTTGTCTAACATCTAAATACTTCAATACAATATTTTTTTCTCTCCCATTTTTATCAATTAATAATAAACTTACCTATTTATTTAACATCTTAATACTTCAATTTTAAAAATATTTTTTTCTAATTCATATCAATTTATATTAAACTTACCCATTATTTAACATCTAAATACTTCAATAATAATGCATTAATAAAAATAACAATGGGGAGGAACTGTCTGCTTATTTGCAAATATGCAGACGGTTCTCCCCCAAAATAGGGAGAGAACCGTCAGGGGAGGAAGTGGTAAGGGAGAGAATAGTCTGACTACCTATGTGAATAGGGTTATTAAAACTTTGAATTTTCTTCAAAAAATGCTTATTTTGTATGAAATTAATGTGAAAAACACTTGCATACAAAAGAATTTTTTTATGTAAGTATTGTTTGTAATATCTGGACATTCCCGGTACAAAGTACCTCCCGGTATAAAGTACCTTGAGGATATATATAATAATTTATAAAGGTCAAAATAAAATTATTCTGAAATATTCAAGAATGTGCCCCATTTGGTAGAGACGTAACGGCCGTGACAAGACCAAAAAATTGTAGGCGTATATGCCGGTTTTCCTGTAAAGGCAGACATCTGTGTAATATCAATTTGTAAAATCTGTCGGTTTTGCAGTCTATGTATGATCGAAATGTCTTGGGTACGAAAGACTCGAGATCTCCAAATTACTTCGAAATTATTTACGAAAGTTTTAGTCCTTGGAAACAAATTGGCATCAATAAATAAACTTAATATTATTAGTCATCAAATTCATAACATATTTTGCTTTATAACATACCTTATGAGCTTAACAGGCTGATAATTATGCTCGTGAAGTAGGTCGAAAAATATACCGGAAGTTGTCGGATTCATTTAACCTAATTATCGGGGAATATCCACTTTGCAATTATAAACTACAAAATTTATCCGATAAATAATGTCTTTTTCAAAAATTCTGGAATATAATACAAAAAAATGTGATGATAAGGCGGATGAGTAAGTTAAATATTGCAAGCGGTCAAGCACTATGACCCAATTAATTTACTATCCCATTCATAGAATTATGTGACCTTTCAAATTATATCCGCTACGTTTCTAATACCGTAATTCAAGCTCAATTGCACATTATTTTCAAAAAATAAATTTCTTGTCTCCACTTCTGTTCGCAATAAATCGAAGTTTTCAGAAATTCAGAGCACTATTTTTCACTCGCGGCGGTTATGCGTCGGTCATGGTCGGGTGATCACTATGAATTCAGCTTACGTTGATATGTTAGAATACAATATAGCATTTAGAGTGGCGATGAAACGTCACAGCAGTGGGCGTTACCCTGTATGGTTGGAAATTTCGGGTTTGTAAGTGCACTAGTTGGGACTACGTCCCAACTAAAAAAGGGAAATTAGCAACCCTTTTGGCAATATGATTACTGAATTAGGTCATGGAGCTATTATATCTAAATTTAATTTTCTGTTATATAAGTCTCTGATAAGGTTAAAACTGAACTTAAATAACACCTATATACTCATATATCTATAACTGATGTATTTTCTACAATAGTCCCAAACGAAGTGACTTAAGTTAAAAAATATTTACCATTTGGAATACTTCGACGATATCAATAATTTTGTTTTTGAACTCTCATTTATGCAATATTGGTTTGAAATGAACGAAGTACACTGTTCATTATCTTGTCTCAATGCAATTATTACACATGTACTCTCATGGGTCTTACAGTTGAATTAGTTTCAATAAAGTACTTCTTTGCACGTTATCAATTTCGTGATTTTCTTTGTTTGCTTTCTACAGACGCGCATGCACACGCATACCTGCAAAAATATGTAAGATTAATTGATATTATGCTCAAATTTGATATTTGAAAAGATTGATAATTGCTATACAGTCTCATTTTGAAATGTTAAATAAACATCTTTTGAGTGCAAATAGAGAAGATATTTTAACATATATATGTTAAGATATGTTTACACTCTATTCACTATATGTAAACATAGTATGAATATACAGTGTCATTAAAAATACTGGCAGTTTTTTTTAAGGAGAGACCAAGTTAACTTGACCACTTTAAGGAAATGCGGCTTACCAAACATAGTTTGTTCATTCTTTTATTCAAATCAAACATTTTCGGTAAGAATTTTCCATATTTCAATAAATTTCTGTAATTAAAGTACATGTATTCTACCTAAGATAAGCGTCTACCTAAAGATAAGCATAATATGTCTTTAAGTAAAGATTCTAGAACCTATTGGTCTTAATAAAATACTTTTTATTATAAACTTCCGAAAAGGCACGTGCGCAACAACGCACGAAAAATCAATATGCTTTATATTAAGTAGCTAATTAAATTGTATACGACAACAAAAGTTGTGATTTCCTTTTGCCAGAGTCTGTTATATCACCAAAGGTCACTGTCAAATCAATATAAATCAATGTCACAGATAGTAAATAAAATATTGATAACAACAACAACAACAACAACAACTTTTATTAGCAAATATCGACAAAAACTTGCCTTTGGCTAATGAACAGAAAAAATACTTCAAATATTGATCATATATACAAACATATAAAGCAATTTTATATGAAACAATATTTATCAACACATATACATATATATTCATAGTGATCAGAAAAAGTGTACATTTATAAGACATCGTTTCTAACAGTATATGCTTCTTTAAGATATTTACACATATTCAATACAGTTTTCTTTTTATTTGAACCCATCATACGGTTGAACAAATTAAGATTTGGCCACGAAATATGTGGCATGTATTTGGTACGAATATTTGAATATTTTTGACAGGTCATAAGAAAGTGGTACTCTGACTCAATGGCATTACAATTGCAATATCTACAAATTCTATTTATTCTATCAGTTCCTATATATCTCCCAGTTTCGATAGCTAGCGAGTGCGCTGATAATCTGAAACATGTAAATAGTTTTCTCAAATAGTCATTTTCAATAAAATCAAGATATTTTTCATAACCAAATTCTTTCTTAAATTTTACATAATAATCAAGTTTGGACATACTACGAATAGAACCACCCCATTCTTGTTTAAACTGATCTCTTGATCTGCATTTTAAGATACTCATAGAAATATCGTCGTTGAAATTGTACCAAATATAGCCGTACCCGAGAGAATCTAGAAGAGATTTAACATGTTTTGCCCATAATATGCAATTTTGATTGTATGTTTCTTGATATTGCAGTTGAAAAATGTTATAAATAAGCGAACTTTTATTTCTGTTTAATTTCACCCAATAGTTCAAAACTCTCTCTTTACATATGATAGATATCGGATATCTTCCCAATTCAACAATGAAAAGGCCATTATACCCAAGAAATGTTTTATTTCTATTTCTCAAAAGCTTTATTAATTTTGGTGTACTTTCATAGTACCCAAAAAGTTACTCATTGGCCAATTACCTGAGCTTTTGTCTGTTGCTTTTTGACAACAAGATCAGTTAATGTGAATGATTATCTTGTATGGAAGTCAAAATACTACATGTACTTTGTTTACAGTTTGCTATTTTTTATGACAAAGTTCACATTTATCGCTACTTTCTTATGGTAACAAGCATCTTGCATTTTCTAAAACCATTATATTAACATTATATAATGCATGTTTTGCTTATTGTTAAGAAGTAAAAAAGTATTTGTTTCTTAGGAAGAATGCGCTTTAAGACCTTAAACAAAAGAATTTGAGGATTTTTTCCTTTAAGATACCACAATGAATTCTCGCTATCAAAATCATTTGCGATTGAATTATTTTAATATAATTCGACCATCAATGTCAAAAGAAAGTTAATCTAACAATCTTCCTAATTAGGCTGTTTTTTTATACCTGCTCATATTTCACAAACTATCTTTGATAGATAATATGCTTATTATAAAAACAACTTTATGTCATTGTCGTCTGCTTAAATTTCAATAATATCGTTACGCTCCTTTATCATTTGGTAAAATAAGATACTCTTGCAACTTTTTGACTTTTCCGTCAATCTTCGGATAAAGATCATGAATAATTAATCACCGAGTTGTTCCAATTATAAACAAGCAAAGCATTGATGCAAAGCATAAAAGGGCGTCCAAGCAAAAAAAAATGAACTAGTAGACATATGATGACAAGATATCCGTATAAACTTTTCAATGGTTAATTGGTTTTTACCAGAATTGTATATCATTCATGAATGGGTGGACGAAAGACATTTTCAGTAT